AGAAAATAACGCTCCTATATTTTACTTGAAATAAATTAGCCAAAATTTAACAAATTATGTAATAATAAGTCAGCATTTTGTCTTTTCCTTTCAATAACCACTTAACTCTTATTGATTTGGTAATTTTGGACTCATTTTTCTGTTGACACAATATTTTCTTTTCTGGGTATCAAGTTAGCTATTAAGAAATAATTAACCAATCTCATTTGATATATTACTTATAAAAAAAAAATGACATGTTATTAGAAAAATAGACTTAACATTGCCAAATTAGTAAGATCTTAACAGGTATTGAAGGGAAAAGATGAAATAATGGTGTATGATTATGTTATTAGTTAAATTTCAACTAATTTATTTGAATTGAAATGTAAAATGACTAATTTTATTTAAATAAGTGGAGATTTATTTAAATATATATATATATATAAAGGTTTTTTTTAATAATCTAAGTGAAGGACTAAGTATACCTTTTGCACCAATATTCTTGAAGTGACTTTATTATTACAATAATAATATAATTATAATATCATTATAAATTATAAATTTACAATTATAATACGTGTTATTATTAATTAGCCACAAAAGCCCGTTTGTTTTCTTCCGCTAAACCGCGCGCTTCCCCCTTTCACTTCGCTTCCACCTCGACTCGTCTTCCATCTTGGTTCCTTGACTCTGTATCTTCTAATCTTCTGTTATTTGGCTTCAACTCTTCTTCAATTCTCTTCGACTTCGGTAAAGTGATGCTTCAACTGTTTATTCAATTTTTATTTTTCTGCCCTCCCCAGCTTATGATCAAGCTGAATATGGTTTTATCTACAATTTTTTTTACAAAAAATGACTAGTCCCAATTGATGTTGTTGGTTTCCTTTTTTGTATATCTAAGATTCTCTGCAGTTTCTACCTTGTTTTCCATCTCGTATGCATGGTTTCTCTTTTACTGCACCTGAGATGAATTAAGTTAGTATGTCTAAATTAATATATTTAGAGAAAAATATTTCATAGTCCTCCTCTTAAATTTTTCTTAAAATTTTTTTAAAAATTTATTTTTTATTAATATTTTTAAAAATTAATTATTATAATAAAAGTTGTATTCAAATAAATTATATATATTAATTTTTAAATTATTTTATAAGCCTAATTATTTTGTTAAGGCAGAAGGTGCAATTCAGCCCCTTTACTTCAATT